GTACAAATGTGCTTTACACAATTGATGTATGTATGGATTGCGATGAGTTGTATGAGCCCCTAATAAAATGATAAAAAAAAAAAAGAATGGACCGAGCTCACTGTTATCGAGTTGATTTTGACTCATAGGGTCCTTGGGGACAGAGGAGAATTGTCCCTGTGGGAGACTATAAATCCTTCAAACTCAAACTCACTGCCATTGCATCAATGCTGACTCATGGTGACCCCCTGTGGGTTTCCAAGACTGGAACTTGTTTGGGTTGGGTCCGGACTGGGCAGCCCACACCTCCTCAGGAAGATGAAACCTCACAGCCCCCATTCCCAGCCTCTCAGGAGGATGGATGACCGACTGAACTATGCGACTCCTGCCCAACACTCCAAAGAGCTTATCTCTCCAGGCCGGGTTGTGTAGCCGCTTCCCCAGCACCCCAGGAAGCAATTTATCTTCCCAGGCCGGTTTGTAGAGCCCCTTTCCCAGCACTCCAGAGAGCAGGTTTGCAAACAAGATGATTTCCCATGGGTTGCATCCTGACTCAAGGCCCTGCCGCTGCAAGCGATATAAAATCCCCCTCCTTCTGTCAAGATCTACTTCCTTAGCTCGAGCCCTGTATATCTCCCACAGCCTCACCAACAAGCTGTGACTTTCCTGACCTAACTTGTTGGGTTGTGGAACTCGCCTGGGAGCTTTCCCTCGCCTTAATAAACCTTCTCTGTACTCCTCATTCCTGACTAAGCCTTATCTCCTTCTGCGCCTCCACCTCCAACCTCTCCGAGCTGTTTAAAGGGGTAGAAAGCCCAGTCTTTCTCCTGCGCAGCTGCTGGTGGCTTTGAACTGCCAACCATGCAGATCTCAGCCCAATGTGTAAGCACTATGCCATTAGGGAACCCGGGATTAGAAAGCTTCATCTTCCTCCTGAGCAGTGGCTGGCGGTTTCAAACAGTTGACCTTGTACCTTGTGGTTGGCCACTCAATGCATGCATAACCCGCTGTGTCCCCAGGGCTCCTTGTAATACATGGAACAAAAATGTGCCTGTCACAGAGGGCCACTCTGAGTCAGCATTGACTCGAAGGCAGGGTGCCTGAGCCCGCGCCCAGGAAGAGAATGCCATCACACGCCTTCCCGGGACCCTTGGTGGCAGTGAGTCACACGCTGGGTGCGGGAAAGTGACACTGAGGGAAACAGGACGGGGACTGCATTCCCTAACTTACAACAGAGGGAACCTGGAAAGCTGGTATTCCAAGGCAGGAAAGCCTCCACTTTCCTAAGTTAAAGTCCAAGTCCATTATCCTGCTTGAAATATCTTTCCCACAGATTCTCCCCTAACAGCTATGCTGCCTTAAGGTGAGCACGTGATTGAGAACATCCTTTTGTTCTTTCTTCCTGCAGTGTTACCATCCCCCTTCCTACTTTCCCCCAACGCCAGTAGTAGGTTTCCTCACCTGTGAGCTCAGGGAGCTTAATGTAGATGCCACCCACCTTGTGATGATGTAACTACTGAGTATGCGCGTATGAAGGACCTATAAATGTCCCAAGTAAAGGCTCTTTCATGCCTCCCAGTTCCACGTAGACCATCAAGGGAGCTGAGGTGAGCATGCCACCACAAAATGTGTCTGACTCCTTTATTCTCTCCTATCTTTCCTGTCCTCTATAACTTTACTATAATCTTTATATAGTATTGCCATACGATTGCATCTACTGCCCTTGGGTTGTCAGAGGCTGGTTTCCTCAGAGAGTTGGGCTGCAGACCAAACGGCCAGTGGTTCAAGGCCGTCTCCTGTTCCTTGGGAGACAGATGGGCAGTCTGCGTCCATAAAGATACACAGCCCCCGAACCCCCAGGAAGCAGTTCCACTCTGTCCTATTCAGAAGGCCAGGGTGAGCGGGACTCGACTTGATGGCAGTGGGGTTTTGTGTTTGTGTGTGTGGGAGTGGGGGAGTTGGAAGCCTTGCTCCCACACATTCTCATATTTAGTGCTCTCCAGACCAGCCCCTCCCACAGTTCTGTGAAGTGTTTGACCAAGTGGGCCCGGTGCTGACATCACTGCCGCCATCAGACGCCCAGGCTTCCCCTCCTAAGACTGTCCAGGGGCACCAGGCACTCCTTGGGGTAGTGAATAGATGAATGGCTGACAGGACAGATGGGTGGAGAGTCAGTAAAGACACCGAGACTTCCCCTGGCGCCGGCGCTGCCAGCCTGGATCATTCAGGAAGACGCTGCAGTTACCCTGCACCTTCATGTTCTGCAGCAGGGCATGTGGGCTGCCCATGGCACAAGGCACAGGTTTCTACACTCAGACTCTACCCTGAAGGACGGGAACGCACACAGGGGTGGTGGCTTGGACCTTCGGGGCCTCTGCCTGTACTGGCTCCTGTCCAGCAGGAGGCGGTGGCCTGCTTGGGATCACTGACCCTCGGGTGGGCCACCCACTCAGGTAGGTGGTTTCTTGCAGAGGATCCCGTGGGAGCTCTTGAGGCAGCCGTGTGTGGAGAACAGGCTCCAGGAGGCTCTGCTCGTCCACCTGGGGCAGGAGTGGGAGCATCGCTCAGAACGAGCCAAGGTTAAGGGGCTCTGGGCTCCTGGAGAAAACCCTGCAGCAGGGTGAACCAACCAGGCCCCAAGTCATCTGCGTGGTCACAGCTAGAGTCCGGGCCCCAAGCTACCTGTGCAGGTGTGGCTAGGAAGTGCCTTTTAATCTGCAATTAATTCGAGGGAGCTTTCTACAAAATACATTTTGGAGGCAGAAGGAAGACCAGTGAGGTGACCAACCCTCCCTAACCCCCCCAGATGCTTCTGACGACTCAACCTCAAGGTGTTAAGGTCTGCTCTAAGGAAGGTGGCTCCGGGCAGGCGTTTCGACTTCTCAACATGACAACCAGGTGTTAGGGTCTGCCCTCCCGTGAACCCACATGCAGACTGTGTGTATGAGACAGGCAGAGAAACAGACACTCTGGAACTGGGCTGAGCCCCTGGCTTCAAACCTGCAGCCCAGACCGGGCCTGCTGGGCACGTGGTAAAGCACTTGCGGCTTTTACAGGGAAGAAGGTGGACTGTAGGCTCTGAAAGTCCTGGACATGTAAACCAGGTAGACCACCCAGCATGGGATAGGATTAAAGGCAGGAGATACACACACACACACACACACACACACACACACACACACACACACACACACACACATAAAAGTTTATGGACCCATCCCTTGCAAAGTTCTATGGGACGAGTCTGGACAAGTCTTTTCACGTCCTTAGTGAACAAACAAATACACACTGTAGCCAAACACTGCAGTGAAGTCGATGCCGACTCAGAGTGACCCTGCAAGATGGAAGAACTGCCTCTACGAGTTTCTGAGAGTTTGTCTTTATGGGAGCAGAAAGCCCCGTCTTTCTCCTTTCTGAGTGAAAGAAGACTTGTTTTGACAAGCTTATTACACAGCTCCGCACACGTACCTTCAAGGACAGAAGCAAACGTGCAGCTGGCCTCTCAAGTGAGGTCTCCTGTAACCTGTTGGCAACAAAACTGAGTTCATCTGAAGACCCCACTCCTGCAGAATGCTGGAGCCCCTGGGCCAGGAGCCAGCGAAGGGTCTTTTAGTACGAGAACTAGAGTGTGAGGCCTCCTCTGTGTCCCTGTGGTGACCTGCCCTGCGGAGCAGCATGGTGACCAGGAGCTGGCACTCGGGCCCTGCTATGCGCTCAGGGATCCTTGGAGGCTGGGACCGTGCCACCCAGTGGGGAGAGGCTGTGGGCCCCACCTGTGGGCATGCCGCCTGCTCACCATCCATTCCGACATCGCTACAGCACAGCGGGGCGCTGTGTGCTCCAGGCTGTACTGGGAGATCACTAGGAGGGACGGTGCATGCAGAGAGGAAAGGGCTTGGGCAGAGAAGCCACACTGCTCGGTGGAAACCTGGCTCCCCACCCCACCCCACCCCACCCCAGTACTCGGGCAAATGAAAGAGCAGCCTCATTTGTGAACAAAGCAAACAGCGGCAAGCCTGCAGTGAGGACAATCACTCTGGGCTGCTGGGAGGGCGCATCCAGGGGCCCTGATGTCACCACTACTGTGATGGGGTCCCACCGGCTCCAAGGAGACACGACCCACAGTTTTGCTTTTTCTCCTTCTTCCTGCTCGCAGAGACCATAGGACCCTGGACTGGCCTCTACTCAGAAAACGCCTACCACAGGAAGCGCCCGCAGCCGTCTCACCCGTGCTGGGGCCTGGCAGTGGGATTGAGATCAGACTTCCCTGGGCACCTGCTTCAGGCCGGGTCTCAGAACCCCTAACACCCCTATCCCATGTTCATCACAGAGACCACAGGACAGGTTTGAAAAGCTCCCGCTCTGAAGCCACCCCAAGTGCTCACCTGCTGGAGCACCTGCTGGGATGCTGACCAGGCACCCCAGGGGAGCGGAGGGCTTTTGACACGATGCGTAAGCAACTTGGTTCTGTTTTCATTTGCTTCTCGTGCCATTGAGCATGACCTCTCCACCAGAAGGGGCTGAGCCTGGCTTATCTAGGGCCCCAGTCTTATTCTCAGTGGCTTGACTCTTTCAAGGCAACTTGGAAGATTAAAAAAAACAAAAACAAACAGCTTGACACAATGGATGGATGTATGGATTGTGATGAGTTGTACAAGTCCCCAGTAAAACGATTAAAACCAAACCAAAACAAAAACACCGCAATGAGGGTGCAGACACTTCTGTTTCTGTCAGGTGGTCACAGTCTGAGTCACACCTGCCTAGGCCTGACACAGGGGTGGTTGACCAGAGTCACTTCCACATTCCTGTGAAGGACGCTGGGAGTTTTCAGGAGGCGAGGATCTCTGGCTGGTGGCTCCGGGACACGGGGGGTGGGGGTGGGGTGGTGGTGCTGGTGGTGGGGGTGGTGGTGGTGGTGGGGTGGGGTGGGGGGGTGACCTGGCTCTCTCCTCTGGTGGCATCAGCCAGCCCACTAACTGTAATCAGAACCGGCGTGCTCAATTTATCTTCATGATGAGCAATAAAATTCACATGTTCTTTATTTAGTCCATATAATACACCGTTTTTTAGAATTTTTAAAATTAGAGAAAAGCGCATATTCCATGGCAAGTATATGAAGTCGTTCCTCTCCATAAACAATGTCAAAACGAAAATCCCAGAGTTACAAAATGTTAAAAAATATGTCGGTGCTAACATCTCACACAGGCGTCAAAGTTACAGGTTTCTTCTAAAGAAAAATAACTGTGCCACTTACCTACTTTTGCCGTCTATCAACTTTTTCCTTTTTTTAAAATTCTGTACATAGGACATTTTGTACAAAATATGAAGTCTACATTTTTATTACTTATTACCGTAAAACAAAGATACAATGTATATACAATATTAAAAGGAAGAGCCACACAGAAGCCACACTAGGAGGACGGACGCTGGGGAGAGGGACATCTGGATGTACAGGTACACTTGGGAAGAGGTGAGGATGCCCTGTGCAGGACTTTTACCCGGACAAACAGTCTCCACACTGCCGGGCCCACTTTTGGAGCAGAGGGTCTGAGGTTGGTCTGGTGGAGGAGAGGAGAGGGTGGTGACCAGCACGGGGAACCGAGACCCAAGCAGTGCAGGAATACTCCGGCTGGAGGAGATGCGTCTTTCAGAGCTTGGACGGATTTCTGGATTTTGGTGAATGTTTATCTTTGATAAAGAGCAGAAATAAGAGCCCCACAAAGAGATGCTCTTGTAAGGTGAGCTTTACATGGCCAACCAAACTAGGGCGGCTTGCTTTCCACACCCCCTCCCACCCTGCACCAGGGCAAAAAGGATTAGTTTACTCCCGCCAGAGACCCCTCTCACAAGCATACTGGACATCCAAAATCCAGGGTATCTGAGAATCTTATCAGCTACAGACAGAAGTTCAAACAATGGTTTCTCAAAATACGCAAGACGATGCTGCTTTAGATAAAGCACCCTTTTTCCCTCAAAAGCAGAAGACATCTAAACTTTTTTTTTAATATAGTTTTCATAATGGTAAGATGGATAGGTACTTGTCAAGTTTCTCAGGAAATGTGTCTTTTCACCAAGCAGACTGCTCCCCCCCACCCCCCACCCCAGACACACACACACACACACACACACACACACACACACACTTTAGGCTGGGACAATCTTCTAAGACACTGTCCACCCCTCCCCCCAATCATCTTCCTCCAGCACACAAGGACAATGGGCCCAGGGGCCCCACCCTGCGCCTCCGGAGGATGGGTCCTCAGGAGGGGATACCCTGGGGGTGGGGGGCGGCATACGTATTTGGACACCGACCACCCAGCTGGTTACACAGTCTGCAGCCAGAGACGAGACAGGAGACCCGTGTTTAGACAGCAGTGCCTGCCTGCGTGGGATCAGGACGTCTCGGGCCACCCTGAGAGAAGCCAGGCAGGATACACACGGCGCCAGGTGGGTGGCATTGGGCTGCCTCCCGCCGTCCCTTCCAAAACCCAAAAGCTCAGCACTGGGGGGTGGGGGGGTGGTGGAGCCTGTGAGCCATGCAGCAGCATGTGGAGACGGAGGACTTCGACTTAAGATGGGTGGGACGTGGGCACTCTTTCCAGAGAACGCTTCCGAGGCATCCCAAGGACCCTGCTCAGTCAGCCGGCAACCCTGCCCGGCCTGCCACGTGTCCAGGTCAGGTCCAGATACGGTGGACTCAAAAGCCCCCCCGCCCGCCCCTCCCCAGACTCCCAGAAAATCCAGTCCTCCAAGACTACTTGGATGAACTCAAGAGCCTTGTTCAAGGGCAACGATGTCTGAGTAAAGGAGTGGGGTGGGGCGTTTCTACAAATGAAACATATGAACAAACAACTGTAAAATTCCAATTCCGGTCCAAGGCAGGGGGAGAAAAAGCTGCCTTGGGGAGGCGTGTCCCCTGCCAGGTTCCCCTGGGAGCCTGGTGCTGGGCCACAGACTGCGAAGTATGGCTTCGGGTTTATGGAGGAAGCTGGAACCCCGCCCCAAGGGAAGGGGAGCCCTGGGCACTGTGGGCTCACATCTCCCAGAGGGTGGGCTAGAACCCAAATGTGGAGAACCATTTCTGTGAGGGCGCTGAAACAGAAGAAACAAAAAAGCAACAGAGCATCCAAAGAAAACCCCAAGCCGCACAGTGACTGCTGGCTGGGTCACAGCAGGGCTGCGAGGTTGTCCAAGTCTTAAGGAGCCAGATAACCCCTGGGAAGGGGTTCTCCTGGTTGGAAAACCATGGGCACCACCGTCCTCAGGCCAGCTCTGAGGAGGGGGACCGATTCCATCGGGGTGCTGACCAAGATGCCTGAGTAGCTCGGCCTACATGTCGGGGCTCTGGGCTGGCCACTCTGCCCACCACACTGCTGGGCCCGGGTGCCCAGAACCCACCATTGTTTGAACTGCTCTCAGCGGATGCGGGGGGCCTTATTGCCTACGGGGCGGGCAAGGAAGCACGGACTTCGAGTGTGACTGACCGGTATGGCACAAGGAGGATGTCGTTTCTACAGAGCCCACAGAAGCCCGGCCTGCCCCCGCCCCAGCCGCGGGCGTGGGCAGCTAGTGCCCGTCCTGGGACAGCAGCGCATCGGCGGCTCTGCAGTGGGCGTCCAAGGCTTTCTTGGTGTAGGGGTCCTGGGGCAGGTCCGACTTGCGGCGCACCAGCGCACGGTCCTTCTTCGGGTCTTTCTGGGCCTGAAACCAGAAATGCAACGGGGTTGGCTAGATGCCGGGGCTCTCCGAGCATGCTTGCTTGCTGCCGATGGCTCGTGGGGTGCTGGGGGAGGGCCGCCACCCCATCCCCCGGCCGGCCTTACTGGCCACTTCTGGAGAGGGCATGGGAGGACCTCCGAGATCACCGAGAGACGAGGGTGTGGAGGACCCCCAAGGAAAACGTGGGCTCGCTCAGCACCTCCACAGCGAGGACATAAACTAGTGCTGCTACTCGGACAACCCCGGGTGTTACACAGCACTTCAGAGCCTGCACCCTCCTTCGGGGCAAGGAACCGAACTCACTGCAGTCCAGTGGGTCCCAACACACAGTGGCCGAGAGGACAGTGGGAACTGCCCCAGAGGTTCCCGGACTGTAACTACGGGAGTAGGAAGCCTTATCTGTCTCTCAAGGAGCGGCTGATGGTTTCCAACTGCTGACCTCACGGTGAGCAGCCTGATGCTTAAGCACCACGCCACCAGGGTTCCTGGAGGTAAGGAGGGTGGATGCAAAACCACATGTAAGCTGGATTTAAAAGCCATCCGGGATCAGATGGTTTGGAACAGGATGACTTCTGAGATGTGAAGTGGGTTGGCATATGGGGCAAACCTCCAGTGCCCCTGGGGTGGGCACTTCACCATTTACACAAAGATGCCCCACGCTGCGTCAGGCTGAGGAATACAGACACCCCCTCGCCATTCCCTTCTCTGTCAGACGTTTCGTAAGTTTTGGTCTTCCAGACGAAACCACCAACCAAGCCCCACGAAGCCCAAGTCACAAGAGGACTTCGATGCTCGCGCCTGCAAAGGAAGGGCGCCTTGACTGGGTAGTTCAAACGAATCAGTCAATTACACCCAGACATCCATGCCCCACCCCCACTGTGTCCATCTCCATGGGTCGGTCCCACGTGGGTCAGGCAGCACGGTGCGCACAGGGTTCTCCGGGCTGGGTGTGTTGGAAGGAGGCTGCCAGGCTTCCGTCCTCAGCACCCTGGGGTGGACTTGAATCTCCAGCTGGATGCTTCACTGCGTGTGTCTCCTGGGGGCTCCAGTGAGCACGCAAAGCGGCACCCCCGGGGCCATCGCGGACCTTCCAGGTCTCAGATGACAAACGGACAGAACCAGCAGGGCTCCCCGAGGTCTAGACCTCACACCCTGGCCCGGTGTGTACACTCTTGTCCTTCTTTGTTTCCATAAAAGCCCCAGGAGGGGAGAAGCCACAAAGAGGAGACCACATGGCACTTCTCAGGCAGCTCTGCAGACGACGGGCAGCAGCTCAGCAATGGTCGCAGGAAGTCTGCAGGGCGCGGGGCTTCACGGCTGTGTCTGGCGACGTTGCTTACATGTTAGCATGCATTCCAGCTCAGGTGGCAGTTCTGACTGGGGTCCCTGGAGACACCAGAGACTGCTCTGGGAGAGACGCCCACCCAGGGTGGGAGTGGAGAGGAGCCCCTGATGATTTGCCTACCGGCACAGCACCCGGCAGGGGGTGAGGGGACGGGGAACAAGCCTCGAGGGGAGGTTAGGCAGCCCGCTTGCCTGCAGGCACTTGAGGTGAAATTCGCCTCGAAACAATCTGTACAGCCAAACATGACTGGGGCCTGTACACACTCGAGACACTTAAATCCGGCTGCCACACCCCTTCTGGGAGCAGGACGCGGCATTCGGACGGGCAAAGGCACCAGTCAAAACCTCGCTGGTGGGGCCTAGCAGAGCAAGCGTAGGGAGTGCACTGTGCTTGCGGGCTGTGTGGATGCACACGCGAGGGAAGTGGCCAGGGAAGGTAGAGACCCGTATGCAGACCGGGACACGCTCCCGTGCCCCGCAGCTGAGTGACACTTGAGGGGGAGGCAAGGAGGCAGACCAGCTGGGAGGTGGAAGGGATGGAAGGACATGGGGTGGGCCCCACCGGGACCCTCTCCGTGGGTGGCAGACGGGCAGATGCTGATGGGTGAACAGGTGGTGGGAGAGCCAGGGGGGCTGGGGAGATACTTGTGCAACTTCCCTTCCTTCTCGAAAGGAGCAGATGTCAACATTCGCACTGGATTTGGGGCAGACGCGATGACCTCTGGCCATGTTAACTGTGACCTGACCAACTTCTATGGGGTCTTGGTCATCCCGTGCTGGGGCGACGTGGAGCCAAGGGGAAAAATGCTGTGTGCCCACTCGTTTATGTCTGTCTTAACCCCACGCTACGGCGTACTTGGGGACCGGTACCTGCACTTCCCACCTGTCGCCTGGCTACACCTTCCTGTCTGTCATGCTTGAGATGGCTTTCCTCCCGACCAACTGTTAACAAGGAGAAACATAAACATTTTCAGTGTCATGGCAGGAAAGGTGTTCACGTCTGTCCGTGCCATGTCCGCCACGGCTGTTCTGTGCAGAATTACAGAAGCAATGGTTCCGTCTGCTACTGCTGACCACCCGTGCCGATTTCTCTGCAAGTATCCAGCCCACCTTGATGCCCAGGCACTGGGGCCTCAGCCATCTTCCCCTTCTCCTGTTGACCCGCCACTTACTTACCTCTCCGGTGCTCTGACCCCACGTGCAAGTCATTCACTGGAAAATGGCAATGATGACTTTGGGGGGTGGGGTGGGGGAAGAAAAGGCTGCAAACAAAACTGCAAGGGCACTGGGAGTGCTGCACCGATGCAGCTCAGGGCGGCTTTCCCCCCAAAACCTCAGGCCCCTGGTCTCCCAACCTCTCGGAGAATGCCTTGCCTGTCATTTCCACCATTGTATCTGGGGGGACAGGACGCCAGTTATCCTCCCCGAGGAAGCACGAGGGGGAAACTCCACTGGCCCCTACAGCCCACGCTACGTTGTGAGAGCGGCTGACCCGGCCCTGTGGTTCTGTGCCTTCCCCTGAGCTGCTCTGGCTGTTCTAGGCCCCTCTTCGCCTGTCTGTGGATTTGACAACCAGCTACTCCACCTCGGACAGGCAGGGTAAAAACAGGGCTGCGGGGCCTCTGGCTGAGGTGGCCTAAGGGTCCGGATGGGCATCTGGGGAGAGCTGACAGCCGACTGGTGCCGAGTCTCCAGACCCGTGACCAGGATCCAGAGGTCTGGGTCAGGTGGAGGCAGCGTTTTTTTGCACGGATGTGAGCTGTCGTGACAATGCAGTTATCTGCTCTCGTTTCCAGAGTCAGGGGACTGCAGGCACTGCTCTGTCCCTGGGTCCCCTGGCAGCCCTGCAGAGCGGAACGGTGGCCCCTCCGCAGGACTGTGGGTGGCCAGCCCCAGTGGGCATCTTTCCTGGCTCTGCGTCAGATACTGGTGCACGTTCAAAGGCAGTGCTGCTCCAGGATGCTATTTTGGTTTGGTTCTTGATCTTGACCCAGTTCCCCATCTTCTACAGGAAGGATCTAGATGGCGAGTCTCTGCCTGTGGGCGGCACGCTCCAGCCACGTGGAGCAGAACTGCCTCTTCCCTCACCTGCATCCTGACCCAACTCAAAGGACCGGAACCCAAACCCAAACTCACTGCCACTGAGTCGATGCCGACTCACAGCGACCCTGAAGGGCACGGTAGAACCGCCAAGACTGGAGCTCTCGATGGAGTAGAGAGCCCCATCTTTCTCCCTCGGAGCGGCGGTGGTTTCAAACTGCTGACCTTGCGGACTGCAGCCCAGTGTGTAACCACGACGTCACCAGGGCTCCCTCGCTCCAAGGATGACACAAAAGAAAGCACCCTCCCCACCCTCCCCAGGGCGGGTGTCGGGACTGGCCTCTAAACCATCAGCTTCCTTTTCAAACTGCAGTCTGGGCGACTCCACAGCCCGAGAGAGCATGGGGCAGGTGGGTGTCTAGGAGGAGTGAGGGGCCCACCTCCTTGGGGCCTGCAGGTAAGGAGGCCTGCTCTTCTGTCCTAAGGACACCTTTAGTTTGTGCAGTGAAATAAAAATGGGCCTAAAAAGAGGCGGCCTTAAATTTCTTTCCAACTAAGAAAATGATCCAGGAGGAAAATCCAACAGCAGACAGAAAAAGATAAAAGGGTTTTCTTATTTTTTATGAAACTCATTCATTGCTGCCAAGAATATTCCCTTCCCACCCCCAAAACCCAAACTCACTGCTATTGGGCCGATTCCGACTCATAGTGACCCTACAGGACAGGGTGGAACTGCCCCTGGGGGTTTCTGAGACTGTCACTCTTTACGGGAGTGGAAAGCCTGGTCCTCTCCCAAGGAGCAGCTGGTGGTTAGAACTCCTGCCCTTGTGGTTAAAAGGTGACCCAATTTTAACATTGGTAAAGCGGGACACTGTTGATAAATCTCATATCCTGGCGAAACAGCCACATGGCAGCCGAAAACCATATACCCTAGCTTGTCGTGCATTCTTTCAAAAAATCGGGACTTTTAAAAAATGCCGCGGGACACGGGGAAAATTGTTAAAAACTGGGACTGTCCCACCAAAAGCGGGACGTCTGGTCACCTTATTAAGAGCCCAACGTGCGAGACTCCACTACCAGGGCTCCTCACTAAGAATGTTAATTGTAAGAAAAACAAACATGGTATTCAATTAGAATAAGGTTTTTGTTTGAGGGGTTTTGCGCTCACTAGTCTTCCCACCAGGTTTTGTATTTTCAAACTCTGAAGAGCTAAATCACAGCAGAACCCATTCACCTGTTCTTCCTGGTCCCCCAACAGGTGAGCTAGGCGGGGCAGGTCCAGGCAGGTAAGTGAGGCTGCCCCACAGCTGCCTGCCCCTCCTGCAGCCCTTAAGAGACTGGAGACCGGCCAGGTCAAATCAAAACAGGAAGCCAGCTGCATGTCAAGTTTGAAAGTTCTCTGGTGGCCACGTTAGAACAGTAACAAGAAATGGCTGGAATTAATTTCGGTAACACATGCCGTCGAGCCTCTGAGAGCTGGAGCCTGGGAGGAACCAGTCAGAGAAGGAAGCTCCCACATTCTCCACTGAGAAGGGCGACCGACAGGGCTGACAGCTGCCCCTCTGTCAGAGGCTGCCTCCAGGCGGCCCTGCCTGGTGCCGGTGCTCATGGGTCCTGCTGCTGCACTTGTTGACAGCATTCCTCCCAAAGGCCGTCAGATCTCCTAAATTACTCAATCCAGCGCTGACAATGCCCCCCCCTACCCCGCCCCTCGCCAGCTGCTCCAGCTGTTCTAGGGCCTTTGCTTGTCCAAGTGGATTTGACAACCAGCTATTCCACCTTCTAACTGTACAGATAAATAAAGACGGGGCTGCCGGGCCTCTGGCTGGGGTGGCCTTAAGGGTCCTGATAGGTATTTGGAGAGCTGACACCCTCATGGCGCTGAGTCTCCCGACCCATAACCTGGCTCCACAGGGACCTGGGTTCAGGGTGCAGGTAGAGCTGACAGCTGTGCTCACGTGAGCAGGTGCAGGTAGACTAGCAGTTAGAACTTTGTTCAAGGTCGGATGACTCTGGGCGCCTAGCTCATGGCTGCTGTGTGGGACATGGGCCAGCAAAGATTGAGGCTGTCTGGATGCTTCCTGTACCATTGTAGGCCCTGCCCTGTGTGTGTGTATATGTGTGTGTGTGTGTGGGGGGGGGGGGGGGTTGGAAACACAGAAGAGAACACCCTCCCTGTTTTGCTGAGCTGCAGGTGAGGCTGGTGTTTACACAGCAGCTGCACCCTGCCACAGCCACCTGTGGGAGCCGAGAGTCTGCATGGGCATCTGAAAGGGGCGGAGGCAGCTGTCCTTAAGGCCACTGGGCGGGCATGTTTCCGTGGGACTAGCAGGGGCTGCACTCCAGGGACCTCAGCAACTTACATAGCCTTAGTGACCCTGCCCCCCTCACTATGTCTGAATGCTGGGCATATTCCCCCTAGCAGTTGGGGACCACGGGGTCGCTGCGAGGGGCCTGGTGCTGGGACAGTTGATCCACCCTGGGGCCGCAGGGGCTCAGTGGTGACCCCGAAGGAGAGCTGCCCCTGGACTGCAGCCAGGGGTCGGGGGAGGGGCTCGTGGGGAGGACAGAGCAGAGCGCGGTGGGGACTGACTGCTCCTGGGAAGGAGGCAGCCTTTCGATCCTTCCTTCGCGGTTTGATCAGCTCACCTAGGAAACCACATGCGTGCCACCGTGAGCAACAGGCTCCGAGCCTTATCTTACAGCCTCACTCTGTGTCTTTTACCTGGCGAGTGTCCTCGCTCACTGTCTTTTTCAGCATCTGTACGTCTTCAAACAGAGGCCCATCTGTCTCCATCGCAACCGCGAAGCTCAGGGTGCTGGCTTGTTTATACACTGCGTACTGGAATGCAAAAAACGCTCGGGCTGAGCTTGGGCCGGAGGTGCGCCTTTCCACAGGCGCCCCCGCCCCCTCCAAGCCCCTCCTGCTGCCAGACACCCCTGCCTGCGACCTTAGCGGCCAGGAGGCTGTGTGTGCTTGCCTGCTTGCAGGCAGCCCTGGTGGGAGAGCCCGTGGGCACACAGGGACCCCTTCAAGCCCTGGCTTTGACTCGGGCCCTACCCCGACCCAACCCAGGGGTCTTCAGTGTCGGGTGGGTGGTCCTGCGCCTTGCCCCGCCGCCTTTCTGACTGCATGAGATCCTAATGGGGAAACTTCTGGGCTTTCTCAGGGGGATCCATGGAAACCTGCCTCCTTAGCTTTTCATCCTTAGCTCCTCCCCCTGCACCCACCCCTCAGTCTTCCCTTCGCCCTGCCCCCTCCTAGCTTGAGCAACTCCAGGACTGGCTGGAGCCTCTATCCCAACCTTGCCACCAAGCCCAGGGACCCCTGCAGCCCTGTGCTGGCCAGAAGGGGTGGGGGCACAGGCGGTTCTCCCCACCGCCCCCGCACCCGGCCTGCCATGCCTGGAGTCAGGAGCATACAGGTGCTGCTCTGAGAAGAGCTTGCCGCTGGAGGGCTGTGCTGGCGTGTGAGGTGGGGGCGTCGTCAGATCAGTGGCTGCTGCCAGAGGCACACGGGTGACAACCAGACGGCTGTTACTGGCTCCAAACCCAACCCAACCCACTGAGAGTGCCCATTGTGATTCACAGGGCCCCTACAGGACAGAGTAGAACGGCCCCTGTGGGTTTCTGAGGCTTTTAAATCTTCACGGGGGGAGTCACTCTGATCCTTCTCCCGAGGAGTCACTGGTGATTTTGAACCACTGACCTTGCAGCTAGCAGTACAATGTGCAACCCCCTAGACCACCAGCATCCCCCACCGTCCACCATGGTCTAGCCACTCAGCATCTTGCTCGTGCCCCATGCTCTCCTCACAGCCTGCTCCTCGAGCCGTGTGGAAGGGTCTCTGGCCCAGGGGGCCGGTCACCTCGTGATGGCTCGGTCATGTTAGCTGTTCTCACCGACCTCCTGTGCTGTGGGGGCTGCTTCGGAAGCCCTGTCTTCCCTCTCCTGGCTCCCCCTGCCTTCTCAGGTCCTTTCCCCTCACCTAACACCTAAATAATCAGCCCTGGCCCTTCCCAGGGGTGATGCGCTGACCCACCCCCTCAACCACTTGGTTTGCCCACTGCTTTTAAACCCTGCTCACCCGCTGCCCTTAGCTGAGCTTGTTGGCTGTCCTGTCTCCCCCAGCAGTGTCTGACAGCTCCGGGTGTTGCCTCTCCCCCTCTGCTGGCCCCACATTCCCAGGGCACCCCATCCAGCATGCCAGGAACCCTGCACTGATGGCACTGATGGTGCCACTTGGGGCTGTGGCACGCTGACCCTGCACAGAGCCACCCTCCATCTCTGAACACATGCCATTCGGCTAGTGAACGGTGAGGGGAGGTGGGCACACCAGTGGATAGGGAGTGAACTGCTGGGCCGCCAGCTTCAAAACAACCAACCAACCAAGGTTCCTAAACCATTTCTCCAGAGGGCAGGGCTGGGCTGGAAAGAGCAGAAAACCAACGCTTTACAGAAACAAGAGTGCACTAGCCACAGCAGGCTTTACCTTTAAAACCATCAACAGCAAGCAGTGATCAGATGCGCTTTGGCTCCCGGAGCGGCCCACCGGCCTGAAGCCCTACCTCCCAGTCCCAGGAGGGAGGGGCAGCCATGAAGTATTTTCCCATGAGCAGCGGCGTCCTGGGTGGCAGGGGCAGGCGACCAGGACTCGAGAGGGTGGGCCCCGGGTGGGTTCAGCACACCGGCTCCGCAAGAGAACGGGGGTGGGTGGAGGCTGCGACACTTGGGGAACCCACAGAGACAGTTTGAAAGAGCGCAAACCAAGAGGCATGAGAAAAGTGCAGGTTAATCAAACAGGCAGAGTTCAGACAAAGGGGAGAGAGACGGCCCACATCTGTACCGATGCGTATATTCCAGAAGTTACAGGTGCACAGGCAGGGAGGCCGCTGCGAGGTTAGTGTGTCCCCGGCTCTTCTGAGGTGAGAATGGTGTTAGGTGTTAGGCAGCGCGTCCTTTCGGCGGGTTAGCGGGGCTCCCACACTCCAGACACAACAAGCAGGGCATGTCGTCTGAGCTCCAAGGCGTTAGTTCCACTGTGTGGGTGACGGGTCCTGGCGAGAACTCTCAGACACTTAGCACCATCCCCTGGGCTGACCCAGACCGGTGGCATTAGCACGTTTCAAAACAAGACGGTCGCTTCTGCTCGCCCCCCTCCCTGCCCCCCACTCCCCATCTCCCTCCAGCCCACTCTCTAAAGCAGCCCACTCGAAGCTCTCCACCCAGTGGGCACGGCACGGCTCAGGGCAGCAGCCGTAACCAAGCACTTCCAGCAGAGGGCTTGGGGCAGCTCTGCCAGGCACGTGGTCATCCCTGCTTTCTGTGGGATTGAGGACAGAGAACAATCGGGAGCGGTGTCGAATTCTCCCACGGTGTGCCTTGTGATTTTAGCAAACCCACGGGAATGGAACCAGCAAGTACGACAGGGGTAAAATCCGTGCTTTCTCTCTTGTTTAGAGCGGTTGGGAAGAACCAGACATCACTTTAGATGAAGCTTAGGCACCTCTGCCTCCCATCCCAAGACACATACCCTACAAGCTGGTTTGCCCTGCTGACTGCTGGCGGGGTGGTGGTGGTGGTGTGTGTGTGCGCACATGGCCTGGTGCTATCATCCCACCGAGCAGCACCGACACAGGCATACAGCCACATATGGAGATCTTGCCACGCAACAGCACTCAGAAGGCAGCCAACAGCGCGGCCAACCTGTGATGCTCACACCACTTAGGGAGAAAAGGGTTAGTAGTCACGTGCCCGTGGCTGAATTCTGGCAATTTCTATCGACCACACACACTGGGAGGCAGGAGAGAGGAGCAGCTCCCTCCCTCCCTACCTAAGGCTCAGCTCTCTCCCCCTCTCCTGCCCGGGAGGGCAGCTGAGACCCAACAGGAAGACGGTTCTTGGAGCCCTGGGCCCGGCCAACAACATAACGCTTGTCCAGGTTCTCTTTTTACCACAGTCAATGCCCAAGCTTCGTCTCCTGCCTAGAAAGTCCAGAGCATTTCAGTGGTAAAAACAATGGCAAAAGCTTCGGAAGGGGCAACATCAGCACTGGGACAAGAGGAGGGCTACAAAGTTGAAAGTATTTTTTATTGCGGACAATTCCATGTACAACGTTAGTGAAGCCCCTGCTCAGGCTCCAGGAGGCAGCCACACCCCAGGCTAAAAAACGTCCCAGAAACCCCCACTCGCTTTTCATGGGACTCTCTTTCTCAGTACCTGGGGGTTCGCTCTGGCCAGGTTTTCTATTTTAACCCATGCTTCTTCTCGCTCCTTCATTTTCAGCTTCTCTCTGAAAAACAGCAAGACGTCACGCTTGTTGGCGAGAGGGAGCATCGTCTTCGAGAAAGCGATACTGGGGGTGGGGACCAGACACCCAACACACCGTGGCGGGCGCTGTTCCCTCAGGTTTCTCCCTGTCTGGGCCAGCCGCCGAGCTGCACAAAACCCCAAGTCAGACAGCAACAGGGACTGAGAAGCAATGGTTTAGGAGTAGAGCATGCTGCCATTTTAACCTGTTCTGGAGCTAAATGTTTAGAAATAGCAAAGTGAGGAAACGTCAAGGCTGCAGCCTTCTCTGTTTTAGCTGAAACACTGAAGCCACCCTGTTTCAATGAGGCGCTGGCCCAGCCTTGGAAATGCCACTCAGTGAGAGGGAGCAAGGCAGAGGGCAATCCTCTGCTCACACATTCACTGCTGGGTCACCCAAACCCCAGGCCACTTGTGCTGGGCCTGCAGGGGAGCACCAGGCACCGGCAGCTAGCCCATGTGTGGATACAAATGGGCCTGTATATCCATACGTACGTATGAGGGATTTCAAAATGCCCGTGGGAAAACCAATTGCCTTTCATTCTATTTCCCCATGAGCGTTTGGACGCTCTCTCAGGCTGCCAGATGATTCAGAATCACAGCAAGTCCGAGACAGAGCAGAGCAACCCTACTGCCCTGGGAGCTCCTAAGCTGCCCCTCCACAGGAGCACAGCAACCTTCTAGTTCAAGGTCAAGCTCGTAACTGGGGCACCACAGGGCTCTCTTGTGCATATGCATTCTGAGTGACACTCCCTCTGTGCTTCTCGGCCACTTTCTAGTGACAAGTGAAGAACGTAAACTTGGCCATCAGCCACACTTGCTGGGCTCTGCAGAAGGGATGCCATCTCAAGGTGACTGCACCACCGGGGACAGGCCACCCTGTCTCTGGGGCCTGCCATGGCCGTTGGCGCACTTTGAGGCCCTCGGTGGAGATGGCTGTGCCTGACAAAAGTCATCTCCCCACCACAAGGATGCTGGTCTGAGACGAAGCCTGCCCCTCACACAGACTGGCCGGGCTGAGCTCCCACGCTGCCAGCTGGCCTCAGACATGACAAGCGACCACATGGCTGCCCTTTAGGGGCCGACGAGGAAGCAGAAACACTAGTATGGAGACACAGCAGCAGCCGCCCCGCCCTGCAGACTGTCCCCTGGGGGTGTGTGTGTGAGACTTACTTGAGCTTCTCGGCCTTGAACTGCTGCGTGCAGTCGTCAAACAGTTTTTGGTTCATCTCCATGAAGAGCTTCAGTGCATTGTAGATCAGGCCGTGTATCGTCCTAGAGACAGAACCACACGTCCACCTTCTCACCCGTCCTCCCGCCCCTGGTGCTGGTGCTGGTTCTGCCACGGTGCCCTGGAGCGGTGTCCGACTCACGGGACCGGATGTACAACAGAAGGAAACCCCGCCTGGCCCTGTCTGCCACAAATGGGTCCCGGGCCTGACACCGTGCCTCATTGTTCTGCTTTCTGACCACAGCTCCAACCCCAACCCTGTGGGCCCCATGAGCCCGTGGAGCCTCAGGCCATCCAACAGGCCCTCCTGGCCGCCAGAAGCCCCTCTGATTAGGAAACTGAGCTGCGATGAGGCTATGACACAAGGGCGGGAAGCAAGGCTGTATTCTGCCGGCACATGCTCATTGTGCCTTCTCAGCTTTGATCACCAAGGGCAACCAAAAAACCCCCAAACTCACTGCCACCAAGTTGATGCTGACTCACAGAGACCCTACAGGGCAGGGCAGAACTGCCCCTGTGGGGTTCTGAGGGTTACCGTCTCAGAAGCATGGGAGCAGAAAGCCCTGTCTTTCTTCTGTGGAGTGGCTGGGGGTTTCGAAGTGCTGACCTTGTGGATCACAGCCTAACGTGTGACCATGACCCTCCCCTCCCCCTCAGGGCTCCTTTCCTCAAGGGCAGCACAGCTAATGTCAGTACCGCCAGAGTAGAGCTGTGGACAAACCAGCCCAACCCCAACCTAATTCTCATCATCTAACCACTCTGTAGTTCACACACCAAAAGTACATGCGGGAAGAGCTTGGTTGGGAGACGGTGTCTGCCTAGGCTGGGGCAGTAAGGGAGCATCAGCTCCTGACCACTGCACACCTTCTCATCTCACTAGAGGAAGGCGGAAACCACGGGCCAAGCCGGCAGTTTCACTGGCTCTTGGACTCCATGAAACCATGGATGTTACCGAGGAAAGGTTGCCAACTGCTGGGACATGGACAGCTGGGAGGCACAGGAAGTGCTCAGCTGAAAGGTTGGGGGTTTGAGGCCACCCAGAGGTGCTTTGGTAGACAGTCCTGGTGACCTGTACCTGAGAAGGGCTGTGCCTCCCTCCCGCTGCTCACGGACAACTCCAGGACTGATGGCCAACAGGCACAACCCACTTACTGTGTGCCAGCACCTGTGTGTGAGCTACACAGCATCCAGACACCACGTTGGCGGGACGCATCCCCACCCCATCCCACCGAGGGTCGGCTGAGGTCACTGTTAGATTTCCAGAGGAGGATCCGTGACTGAGGGAGGGGTGAGCCTCACTCAGACAGGGAATCGCTCTGGGGTGTGACTGCACTGCTCAAACCCTCCCTCTGTCTCCCACCACCATGCCTGCCACGGTCTTGCTCAGAGTGCTCTGGGCCACAGCCTGGCCCTGCCTGGCTCAGGCTGGCACTTGCTGCACAGCCTGGACTGTGGAAGGGCAGCAGTCCATGGGGATCAGACTTGTGGGGGTGGGGTGGGAGGCCGAGGCCTCGTCCTGGGAGTCAGTGGGGTGGGATGGGCACTGGCCTGGAGTCAGGAGACTCACGTTAGAGCCTGGGCAGGCTGCTCCGCCGTGTGCCCCTGCCTCTTTCTGCCCTGAAGTGCTGACCTAGTGATGACCATGTAGGGAAGAAGGGAAGAAATGAAGGCAGATGGAGGAAGGGAGCCCCAGCCTCCACCGATCCCAACCCCACTGAGGATGGAGCAGTGAGAGCTGTCCTCGAGGTCCGGAGCCCGAGACCCTACTCAGGGAGGGCAGTGGGGGAAAGAGGGAGGGTGCTGCGGACCTGCAGGCTGTCCCTCGCTAAGTGGGCACTGTAGTGCCAGGTCGCACGGGCCAGGTGGGGGCGGGGTGGGCAGTGGGTCTTCCTTGGGACAGCCTTCCAGGAGCTCTGCAGACACCCTCACTGGGACTGGGCAGGGGCGGTTGGCTGGACCGATGTAGGGTCAGAAGGTGTGTACAAAAGGCCACCGAGATGACCCATAGCTGTGAATCAGCTAAAAGAGCCCCCCCCCCCCCCCTGAAGTCACACCACCTCATCTATTTTGACTCAGATGGAAAGCCTGGGTTTCAAGGGTCCCTGGCTTGCCATCTCAGCTGCCTGGCCACCTAGGTGGGTGGTGGGTGGAGCACTGGGCATCTCTTACTTGTTCCAGTGGGTTTTCGAGTTGCGGTACAAGGACGGGAACATGATGGGCAGGATCTTGGCGGCGTTGTCGCTGATCAGGCTCATGATGTACTCGTTGTTCCAGTAATACAGGGCCCGCTCCGCCACCTGCAAGACGCACCGAGGGGCCAGCTTAGAACTGCCACCCCCACAGCCTGGCCGTGACCGCTGCCAACAGGGTAACGGGGACCTCAAGGGACACGGCACCCCTGAAGAGCCTTGCACAGAGAAAGCAGGGCACCACCATGAGAGGCCACCTTCGACCAGCTCCCTGCAGGCCGTACCTGGAAGTGCGGGCTGGACACACACTTGGCCAGCTGCCGGAAGAGCGGCTCCATGACCTTCACGAACTCCGAGGGTTCGATCACGTCCAGGATCTCCTCCAGCTCGTTGAGGAACATGACCTCCTTGGGGCTGTGAGTCTTTGGCCAGTACTTGAGAAGAGCCATCACCACCTACAAGAACAGCCACCATGGGGAGCGGAGGAGGGGAGTAGGGGCTGTCCCCCTTCCTGAGCACAGCCACCCCCCCACCGCCCCAGCGGTCTTGCCCTCCCGTCTCAGTGGAGCCCTGCAGGGCTAGGCTTCTGAGTTTTGTAGTTAGCGAAGCAGCTCTAATTCGGGGGTTCTGTGGCACAGCGTCTCTTCCTGTGCTCCTCGCAGGGCCCACTTCCTTTCAGTGAGGGCGACAGTACAGGACTGCTCTCCCGGCACACTGGATGTGACTCCTCGCAGATCAACGTGTGAGTGTCATAAAAAAACCCAAAACAACAACCACCACCCAACCAAACTCACTGCCGTTGGGTTGATGCCAACTCACAGTGACCCTCTAGGCCAGGGAAGAACTGCCCTGGTGAGGTTCAGAGACTAACACTTTTCGGGTCCTGCAGAGAGCGGCTGGTGGTTTTGAACTGTGGACCCTGTGGACCGCAGCTCGGCGTGTAACCTCTTTGCCACCACGGCCCCCTAACGGCTCAGCTACCCAGAAACGGAGCTTCAAGGATCTGTAGGCCACATTCATGTCATCGTGGTTAGGTGCAGCTGAGCTGGCTGTGTCGCACAGTGACACTGCGTGTAGCAGAGGGAACACTGCCCAGTCCTGCACCACGCTCACCACCACTGTGGCAGCCACTGTGGCAGCGAACCTTCTGGAGAGCCTGCCCTCCTCTTTGTCGCTGCCCTTCTACTTTACCAAGCCAGCGGTCCTCCTCCAGGGACTGGCCTCTCTGGATAACATGTACAAGGTATGTGAGATGCATTCTTGCCATCCTTGCCTCTAAGGAGCCTTCATCGGCTGGTCTGTTTGTTCTTCTGGTAGTTGATGGTCCTTTTCCTGCAGCATAGCCCACTCATCGCTCAGCTTCCACATACACAGGAGGCCACTGAAATGCCCTGTTTGAGGGGTGGGGGGAGCAGTGTCCTCTAAGAGATATCTCTGCTTTTTTACCACTTGAAACAACGCAGGAACAGGGACTGATTTCTTGGCTGCTGCTTCCATGGGGTGTTGACTGTGGTTCCATGAGACACGACAGTCCTGTCCATACAAATCCACTCTTGCACACACACCATGCACTGATGGTCTGACACATCAAAGCAGCTGTCCAGCCGGCTCACAGCACGATCCTGGAGGCTGTGTGGTTCCAGGCTTCCCACCGACCAGCCTTCTCAGCACAGCTGGGTCCCCCATTTTGCTGGCTGTGCCCAGCTTGGCAGCCACAGACTCCCTACCAGCATCCACTGAGAACAACTGTTCGCCAAAGCGCCGGGCACTCAGGCGCCTGGGTAACCATTTATGCCGTGTTGTTGGTATGAGGCGGCCTTGAGGCACAGCGATCCGTGTACAGCAGAACGAACCACGCCCTGGTCTTGCACCGTTCTTGCCACGAGTGAGCAGCACAAAGGCTCAGAAATTACGAAGAAAGCGGTCCTGCTGCTCAAGTGAGCCGGGGCATTTGCAACAACTGCCTCTACCGCTGATGACGGGCCTCCCTGCAACTGCCTCTACCGCGGATTCTTACAGAACGCATCGCTGACGACTGCCTCCCTGCGTCAGTGAACAACTATTTCATCAGTGCTGGTTGCCATGCTCCGTTCCAGCACTGGGCGCACGGTTAGGAAAAGCGGCGGATCACTTTGTGAGTGCTGTGTCCCAGAGCGTTTTCTCAGGAGAAGTAGGCAAACTCAGGAGTGACACACACCTGCTTTCGAGAGTCAGTTCCTCTGAAAATGACCCCATGCTGCACTTGCTTTTGGTGCGATTTGGCTTTTTGAATTTTGAACTAGAGGATGGTGCCTGAGCTGGAAAAGTTTGGAGCCATGAAGCAGCTTTCTTCTCTTGGACTTAAAAGTTAAAGGGAGTCTGTGGGCAGCTTGAAATGCTCACTAGATCCGCTTGTTGAGTGGAAGTGGGGTCCTCCTGGACCCACTTGCTGAGTGGAAGTGGGAGAAAAGCAGCAAGAGAGAGATGGGTTGAGTCTGGCCACTGACACCCGTGGATCTGGTCCACAGGGACTAGAGGAGAAGATGCGAGCTAGTCTGAAGCTCAGAGTTGTGTGGAACCCAAGCCCGTGGCTTGACCTAGTCAAGGGGGCTAGGGTTGTGGAGAATGTATGAAGGGGTCCTTGGTCGACAGATGAGGTGGCGGCCAATAGGCACCCCAGTGAGGCGAAATGAGCTGGGCCAGAGTTGACCAGAACCGACCAGATGGAGACGAGATTTTTGAGTCTGTGAACTGGTGCATATTGCTGCTGACATGACGGCCTGTCCGGATTTTACGTTGCTTATGGATGCGGACCCACAAGGAGCCAACTGGAATGAAGATTGTCCACATCAAAGAACAGGCCTGTCTCCTCCGAGCACTGGGTTGACCTAAATTGGCAGTGCAGAAATTGGACACCAAAAATGGGGGTGGGGGTAGGGTGGGGAATGAAGGCATGAAGTGGCAGGCCTACAAACATTCAGAGTCGGGGAATATTTTCACAGGACTATTGGAATCTGGTACAGGCGTTTACATAACTGCAATTGTTAGGCATAGGATATTTTTGTTTTGTTCACTTATAGAATATTATGTTTAAATGAGGCTGGCAGATTTTGAGTTTTATGATTTTAGCTTTATCCTGATAGGCACAAATGGTTTTATTATTATTTTTAAAAATTGTGTATGGCCAAAGAGTTGTGTAAAGGTGTCAAGTTGGCAAGGGGTGGTCTGTGGTAGTTACATAATTTCAGGTCAACTTGATTAATAAAGTGAGGGGTGGAGTCCAGCCTGTCAATCATGTCACAGGCTGATGGTGCCTCCTTCTGGGCGTGGCCTTCTCATGAGGAGGGTCCTGGGAACCTTCTCTCTCTCTCTCTCTCTTCACCTTCCTGTTGATGAGTCACGCTGAGACCTGTGTGAGCCCTGGAGATGTGTCCACTGCCACTGGATCCACAAAGCTCTGCCCCCACCAGCTGGTGATGTCCCTGCATTCTGCATCACTGTATGTGGCATCATGAGCTAGAGAGGACCTTATGGGCTAGTATTGGGCTTAGGGACTTGAGTTGGACTGGGCTGCGATGTCGTACTGATGCAAAACTGCTTCTTGATAGAAAGCTCTCTTACACATACATGAGTGTCATTGGATTTGTTTCTCTAGTCAACCCAGACTAACACATTCAGTATTAGGAATCTGTCCTTATTTTCAAGACAGATACAATCTCTCAGGAAAACAGCGATGGATGGGGGGGCTGAGGAGACAATGGGGTTCGGGTTCGCCTTCCCAGCACTGACACTGGCGTTCTCGCTCGTCATGTGGTCAGACCCGGCTCACGGTGACCCACACAGAGGGCTGAGATGCTGCCCGCCGCCCAGGCCGTGGTGACCTGCAGGGTGTTTCAGAAGCAGGGCACCAGGACTTCCTTCCTTGTTAGGTGCCAACAGCGAACAAAACGATGCCTCGTCCTGCAGCATCCTTGCCACAGTGTCCGTCCATCTCTTCGAGGGCCTGCCTCTCTTTCACGGCCCCTCCACTTTACAAGCATGATGTCCTTCTCCAGGGACAGGTGTCTCCCGACAGACAACATGTCCAAAGTCCGTGAGAGGAAGTCTCTCCATCTCGGACTCTACGGAGCGTTCTGGTTGTATGCCTGCCTGTCCATGGTACCTTCAAAACTCTCCATCAGCACCACCGTTCAAGGGCATCAAATCTTGGGTCTTTGTTCCTACTAAGTGTTAGTCTAGAAGTGCCACGGAAACTAGGTCAGCGTCATGGCAACCTGCCGGACGCCACTAACAGCCGGGTGGCAGGACACGATGCGGCTACTCTTCTAGCCCCCAAAGCCCATCGCCACCCGTTGACTCCACCTCACAGTGACCCTGTGCAGTGACAGGAGTTGCAGTTAAGAAAGCATTTAAATGTTGAAACGGATTTTGTTAACTAGGCCTTTTTGTTTATTTCTTGTTTTTTTATTTTTAATAAAGGGAAGTGCTAAGAAAATGAGTCACCCAAACCGCAGCTGGCATAAGCATGAGGGACGGGGCAGAGACATGCCGTGCTGCACCTGGAGAGAACGGGCACATGAGAGCGCTCTCTTGTACCAGGAGTGCTGTGTAGAAAGGTGCACGAGACTTCCTCAGGCCATGGGCCGCTAAGTGTGCTGTCCAAGCAAGGGGAGGGGACAGTGCTGCCACACACCTGGCCTCGTGGAGGTGACCCTTCCGGGGCTTTCAGCACAGAACACACGCTCAGGGACAATGAAATGATGCACCTGGGAGCACTGACCAAATGCTGTCCCAAGGGCAGGGGCCAGCTCATCAGCACGGCAGCCCCTGTAAGGAAGAGGCTGTGCTGAAGGCAACCTGGTGAGCATGCGGTGCATGCGCATGAGCCTCGGGGGCTGCGGTGGGAGGGAGGATGCTTACTGGTTCAGTGAGAGTGCTGTCCTTTTCCAAAAACTGCACGACACAGTACGCCAGCTGGAGAGGAGGAGGAGGAGAGGATTAACCCTTCATTTTAACACAGCACCAGATACCTCCCCATGTGCCCACACCCTAGGTGTGATGGGAGACCCCCACTCCTGGCTAGAGGGGCGCAGAAGACAGCCTTGTTTGGGGCTGGGCTCCAGGTCATGTGTGGGAGCTCTGCTCTGGGGCCGGCCGGCCTCTTACCTGTGGGTGGTAGACACTCAGAGACTTCACTTTGTGCAGGGGCAGCAACACCTTCAGCAGGAAGATCTTGTGCTCTTCCTTCAGCGGTAAGGCAAACCCGTTGATGATACTGCGGAGGGAAGAGAGTGGGCCGAGCGTGAGTGTTCACAAACTTCACAATGAAAAGGAAGCAAAGGCTTTGCTGGCTTCTCTTCATTTGGGTTCTCACCACAAAAACCAGGATGTGTTTCGGGGGAAGTAAAAGGGGTGGGGGGAGGGGGAAAGGAATCAGCACAGAAAAAGATTACTAAACAAAAACCCCCAAACCAAATGAGTTTAAAATTTTGATGGGCAGGTGTCTAGGCAGAGCAGCAAGCAGCTGGCCCGGTAACAGTAGCCCGGGCGGGGACACAATCTTATCGCTCTCAGGGCCCGCAGACGGAGCGCAGTCTGGCTGCACAGCACCTTCCTGCTGGCTGGGCTCCTGGAGCTGGCAGAGGTGAGGCTGAGCCGAACACCCGCAAGAAAGTGGTGCTTTTGTGCACAGAAAGGAGGGCCCCGTGCACCCCCTCAGCTGACATGCTTTTCTCTCAAACACCAGTAGTCAGAGTGACGGAAACAGTCAGAGCTTGTTTCCCGCTGTCCCCCCTGGCACATGCCACCTCAGTGTCCTGGGAGCACTGTGGGAGGGCGTCCTCCTAAGTGGCCTGCCAGGGAGACATGCTCATTCCCACGGAGAAAATGAACGACCAGACCCCTGCCCTGGGAGAGCAGAACAGCCGCTGGCTGAGGCCGTGGGAGCATCCTGGACGCCCTGTGCCTCACGGCAGAGGCCCTGGTCCTCCAGCACCCAGCAAGGCTCACACACCTGCCGTCCTGGATTGGCAGACAAGGAGGTGGAAACAGGCAGAGGCTACCTGCCAAGTCCCACGGTGGAGCTGCGCAAGCTGTCTCTCAAGGCAGGCTCCCCACACTAGCCCCAACCCTGCTCCTTGACAAGAGGTCACACATCCCTTCTGCACAGCAAGGGGAGGCTCCCTCAGAGCTGCTGGGCAGGAATCAAAGCCACAAGGTCCTCAAGGTGCACCTGGAGGGGAGGGTGCAGTGGCCTAGAGTAAGCCTGAGGCCACCCCAGCTGCAGGGCTGCTCCAGGCCTTACCTGTTAAGGGCCCTGTCCCCAAGAGGGCGCAAGTCACTCACTTCTCAACTCGGCCTGGAATACTAGGTTAGAAGTCTAGTTCCAAATGTACGGACCACTGAGCTGGTTTGACAGTACTTTATGCTGAGGTTCACACCGCACATTACTTCCCATTGGGCATCTCCACACAAAGGAATGATAGCAAGCAAACACTTCACTTGGATTAAACTGTAATTCTTCTTTTCTTTTTTAATTAAGTCATTTTATTGGGAGCTCATACAACTCTTATCACAATCCCTACATACATCCATTGTATCAAGTACACATTTGTTGTCCTCATTTCTCAAAACACGTGCTTTCTACTTGAGCCCTTGATATCCGCTAATTTTCCCTCTCCTCCCTCATGAACTCTTGATAATTTATAAATAATTATTGTTTTGTCATATCTAGCACTGTCCGACGTCTCCCTTCATCCACTTTTCTGTTGTCCATCCCCCAGGGAAGAGGCTTTATGTAGATCCTTGTAATTGGTTCCCCCTTTCTACCCTACCTTCCCTCCACCCTCCCAGTATTGCCATTCTCACCACTGGTCATGAAGGGATCATCTGTCCTGGATTCCCTGTTTCCAGTTCCTATCTGTACCAGTGTACATCCTCTGGTCTAGCCAGATTTGTAAGGTAGAATTGGGATCATGATGGGGGTGGGGGTGGGAGGAAGCATTTGAGAACTAGAGGAATGTTGTATGTTTCATCGTTACTACACTGCACCCTGACTGGCTCATCTCCTCCCCACGACCCTTCTGTAAGTGGGTGTCCAAACTGATCATTCTTTCTCAAGTGTGCCTATGAAAATTACTTAAGCCATGGGTAGGGAGGGGAAAAAATGAAGAGCTGACACCAAGGGCTCAAGTAGAAAGCAAATGTTTTGAGAATGATGATGGCAACAAATGTATAAATGCGCTTGACACAATGTATGTATGTATGGATTGTGATAAGAGTTGTACGAGCCCCAAATAAAATGATTAAATTAAAAAAAAAAAAAGAAGAAAATTACTTAAGCCCAAAGCACTGTGACCCACAAGGGGCTTCCAAAAGTTTGTGGGAAGATTCCATTATCTTCTAGTTCTACTTCCTATGAACTTTTTAAAGGCCGCCCTTGTAATGACCATTTATTCAACACTCTAAACACACGGTAACTGTCTAGGCCTCTTACAAACTTGTGTAAAGCTGCAGACATGTCTATTTTCAACATCGCTCTTGAGGAAATAACTAAAGTGGTCGTTCCCATACTAATAAGACTGAAGTGTGGGATACTTGTGCCAGTCAAACAAAATATTGCCACCAGAGGGGAAAAAAAATCAAATCATAGGAACCTTTCTGGAACAAAAGTGCCAAAATGTAAACTCTGGATTTTGACACTCCTCCATCTAGATCTACACACTCTGAGGCTTCCCTGGAGAAGTCTACATCCTCCTAGTCACAGCACGCCAGGACACCCCGCGGGGCATCTGCAGAGAGCCAGCTGGTGCTCCATTCAAGTGTTCTTTCCCGTTTCAAGGACCAAACAAGTCTGAAGGGCGTGAGACCGGGGTCTGGGCCGATGGGGTGAGCTTTCACAACGGAATCCCTGTAAGACAAGGCTTCCGAGCCGTCAAGGAGGAGCAAGGGCACTGTCTTGAAGGGAAAAATCTCTGGGTACACTCGACTTTTGGCCTTCCTCTCACCACTCGGTTTCTCCCCGCCCCTTTTAAAAAATAATCATTTTATTAGGGGCTCATACAACTCATCACAATCTGTACATACGCCATCTGTGTCCAGCACGTTAGTACATATGTTGACTTCATCATTCTTACGACACCCACTTGAGCCCTTGGTGTCAGCTCATTTTCCCCCCTCCCTCCCCCCATTTTTAGACTTCTTGGTAACCTTCTGTCAACCTTCTCTAAGACTTCTTGGTAATAAGCCGGTGATGAGCCTCTGTCCTGTGAAAAAATCTAGACATAACCCTTAGAGTCCCACAGAGCAACCTTCATAACCTTGTGAAGTGGCCTTTCCGCCTTGAGTTTCACGGGCTCACCGACCGACTCCCCCAGGAGCCGCTGCTTTGGATGACGGCACCTTCGTAGGCTGCTGTGGCCCTACACACAGCAGAACAAGACACTGCCTGGCCTGCGCCGTCCTCACAGCTGTTCTTCTGTCTGAGCCCATTGCTGCAGGCACCGTGTCCATCTACCCACCGAGGGCCTTCCTCCTTTCCGCTGCCCCTCTACCTGACCAGGCAGGAGGCCCAGGGCAGGGTGCTCCTGAGAGAACGTGTCCGCAGCCATCCGCTGGGGGCAGAGACATGCCTACACTCTGTCTGGAGTAAACCCAGGCGGGCCTGAACTGCAAACCCAGTGGCAGTGCTTTCCGACTGACCTCCGGTGACAGACTCCACGTCTGAAGTACACAGATGGGCGAGCTCTGCCAACTGGTGTCCGGTCAAGAGCTCACGGATTCCTCTCTAAACTCTTCTAGAAAATGGTTCAAATAGTCTTGTTGGGGGTGCGGGGCACCGTGGGTTCCATCAATTCCACTAGAAGCCATTCACGATTGTCATCACGGTGAACTTACCTCCCCAATATTTCCAGTAATTCTGCTATGCCATTGTGATGCTCTGTTTCATAAATAAACCTAGAACAAATGATCCGTCAGTTAGATTTGACAGACTGGGAAGAGGAAGAGGCTGACCACTTGTACAAGTTTGGCTGTGGGAACGCTCGGGAACAGCAGTGGGAGGCTGTGTGCCACGGGCACAGAAGACGATGATGAGGCCCTCGCTTGGGTGGCCAGGTACTGAACCTAACTGAAGGAACGCTGCCCCCTCCCAGTGGAGTTGGCCACCGGGACGGGGGTGGAAGGAAGCTTTCTGGACCTTCACTGGCTCATGGGGCCCAGCTCACAATGAGAGGAAACAGCTGCAAACGTCCATTAGTGGTCAGAATGAGGACGGTATGAAATGTATGAATCTAGGACAATTGGAAGTCATCCAAAATGAAATGCAATGTCCAGAGAGAACTCTCCTGGGCATCAGTGACCTGAGGTGGGCTGGTACTGGCCACTGAGAATCGGACGATCACAGAGCCTACGACACTAGGGACGACAGATGGAAGAGGAGAGGCACTGCACTCACGTGGAGAGGAACATTTAAATTCTGTCTCCACGTGCACTGCTGCCTGTGACAGGGCAATAGCCACAGGCCGTGAGGAGGACCAGTTAATACGACTACTGTTCAAATTCAGGCAGCAGGCACTGACGCCAGAGATTAAGACGCTCATGTGGCAGCTGGTTAAGAGTGGGCCACTAACGGAAAGGTCAGTGGTTCGAACCCACCAGAGGAAGGCGAGGGAGTCTGACTCTGTGAAAATGTGTGGCCCCAGAAACCCTATGCGGCAGCAGTTCCGCTTCATCCTGTGTGGTCACTATGAGCCTGAATCACCTCCACAGCAAGGGGTTTGGCTTTGGGTATCTTTATCGTGGTCTGAAATCAATCAAATATGCAACCAGATGTGTTGATAACCATAAAGAAGGATCCAGAGTTGGAAAATAGGGTCTTCATGACAGAAGTGATGCTGAGAATCTGCAAGGGCAATGACTTAGTCCACCACACAAATGACAAGACACGTGGACGTCACTGGGTGGAATACACAGGAATCCCATCAACCACTTCCGTGAAAGGACCTGAGGGGGCGCGGCTCAGTGTCTGTCGTCAGTGAGAAAGAGGCCAGAGGTGGAGGGCGGAGCAGCCCACCAAGTGGAGGATGAAAACAAGTGACACAAGTGCAGGGGAGCCAAAAGGTGACCCTGAATACTTCCTTCCCTAATTCAGCAACCGCCTCAGAACACATGCCACGCCTTGAGCACTGACGACCAGGTGACCAAGGGCCAGATGGCTGCGGAAGCGCATCAAAGGCATCAAATGTGAAGAAAACAAATGGAAGAAACCACAATTAGTCAGAAGAGACTGAAACCCGTTCTTGAGCACCGAGCAGCTGAAGCGGGAAGAATACAAGAAGGGGGAACAGGAGACTGAAGGGTGGCTCAAGGTGAAGTATTCCAAAGACCTGGACCCAGAGAAAACCAACAGGGAAGAGAACACGGCCGATACTTCTTAAGCTGAAATAATCGGAAAGACAACTTCAAGCTCTGAGTTGAAATAGTGAAGGGTTCTGTACAACACTGAATGACCCAGAAGCATCAAGAGATGGAATATGACCCACAGAGCTACTGTGCCAGCAAGAACTGGATGATGTTCAGGAGGTACCCCGTGGTGAGGAGCCAGTGGCAGTAGAGGAAGAAGTCCAAAGCTGCCCTGAAGGGACTGAGAGAACACCAACTGAGGCCTTTCAATAAATGGACCGATGCCGAAGTCACCCCTGCCTATGCTAAGGAATCTGGAAGACCGTTTCCTGGCCAAGAGACTGAACGAGATCCATATTTGTGCCCATTCTAAAGAAAGGTGACCCACCAGAATGTGGAGCTGATCAAATAATGTCCTTAATATCACATTCAAGGAAAATTTTCTTGAAATAATCAAATAACTGTTGGAGCAGTACAGTGGCAGGGAACTGCCAAGAATCCAAGCCAGGCTCAGAAGAGGATGTGGAACAAGGGAGATCTTTGTAGATGTCAGATAGGTCTTGGCTGGAAGCAGAAAGCACCAGAAAGAGACTGACAACCATTTTCCCAACTATGCAGAGGCGTCTGACTGTGCCGATCAGAATAAACTGTGGCAAATGTGGTGAAGAATGGGAATTTCAAAATGCTTCCTTGTGCTCAGACAGAATCTGTCATTAGAACAGAACGAGGTGTGCAGCAGGGCTGTATGTTTTCCTTGTATCTATTCAATCTGCGTTCTGATCCAAGAAGCTGGGCTGGAAGAAGAAGAAGAAGGCACCAGGAGTGGAGGAAGCCACGTTCACATCCTGTGAGATGCCAACGACACTTGCTTCACCAAAGCGCAGAGAGGACTTGAAGCGCCTGCTGATGAAGCTTGTGAGATTACAGTCTTCAGTATGGATGACACCCCAAAGAAGACCTGAGTCCTCACAGCTGGACCAGAAAGCAACATCGTGGTAAACGGAGAGAAGACTGAAGCTGCCAAGGATTTCATTTTACTTGAGCCCACCCTCACCCCCCACAGAAAATCAAAGTCAAGAAACCAAATGGCACACTGCATCGGGCTCATCTGCTGCACGGGACCTCTTCAATGTGTTCAAGAGTGAAGAGGTTGCGTTGAGCACACTAAAGTGCGTCTGACCCGAGCCACGGTATTTCCAAAGGCTTCATATGCAGGTAAAGCTGAACAACGAATGAATAAGTAGGACCGGAGAAGATTTGAATTATGGCGTCAGTGAAGAATATGGAAGATACCACGGACTGCCAAAAGAACGGACAAATCTGTCTTGCAAGAACAGCCAACATACTCCTTAAAAGTGAGGGATGGAGCCTTGTCTCGAGTATGTTAGACCTGTTCTCAGGAGTGACCAGTCTCTGGTGAAGGGCAGCGTTCCTAACAGAGAAGAGGGCCTGGGAAAGGAGGAGGACCCTCAACAGGATGAACTGACAGTGGCTGCACCGCAGCACGGACTGTGAGGAGGGCGCGGGACCAGCAGCGTGGTACACAGGCTTGCTAGGAGCTGGGACGCACACAGTGGCGCCTCGGTGTGGGAGATGGGGTGGGATGAGGCAGGCAGTCTGCACAACTGCCCACTAGACTGGCCATGCGTGAGAGGAATGGGAAGGAACCCGGAGACTGAGGAGTCGTCTCGGCCTCTCTGCACATGGACGGTCATCGCACTCCTCCATGCTGGGTCATGGCAGCCAGGTAAGAAAGGCAGGGTTGGCAGCATCAGCGACAGTCACTGCACGTGGGTGGGAGGGTGGTAAGGGACCTGCGGAAGCCACACTACACAAGGCCTGTCCTGCTCTGGCTTTCCAGGCATGCGGTCACACTGTCCCATCATTGCCAGGCCTGCCACTCCTTAGGGAGAGCAGGTTCCACTTGTTGACATTGGTTCCGGGCCCACTATGGGCTGGGTGGCAACCAGCAACATCCTGGCCCTCCAGGGGATGGAGCCCCGCCCATGTAGCCTGAGAGTCCTGAGGCCTGGGAGGTGGTGGAGAAGGGAGGGTAACCATGGACCTTCCAGGAGGCTGAGGCTGCAGCAGCTGAGACCTGGGGTCAGTAGGAGGCCTGAGGCCAGCAGAAGGCAGGCACTGTGGGGCTGCGAGGGCCCTGCCGAGGAAGGGGCCAGTGCACCCCAGCCCTGGCTGGTGTGACTCAGGGACGCAGTAGAAAGGGAGGGGTCACAAGACAAGTTAGGACGCAGAACCAGGAAACAGGGTGGTGAGGAGGGAAGTTTGGGGTGTGTGTGCGCGTGTGTGTGGGGGTGTCAGTTGTGAGCAGAGTGAGCAGAGAGGAAGCATTCAGGCGAATCCTCACTTGGAATGTTCTGGAATGCTCTTCCATAAGCCGTGGGGCTGTGGCCTGCTTCAGAATGAACTCGGACAGGATTTGTATTTGAGGTCAGCAGGCCACAGCCCCACGGCCCACAGAACATCACTAGGCCACAACGAGATCCACACTAGCCACCCCACCCACCGACTTACCTATAAAATATATTATTTATCTGTTTTCTGATGTACGCTCTTAAGCCTAAGAATTTTCCATAGATTCTGTGGAGGGTGGTTTTGAGGAAATCTCTCTCCCGGGGGTCTTCACTGTCAAAGAGCTCTAAAAGCTTCAAGAAGAAAAAGACACCGGGTGACTGAGTGGGCCCGTGTGTGGCAGGGCCTGCCCCTCGGGTGCCAGTGCAGGGTACTTACCTGCAGTACAAACTTCTGATCTATATATTTCTTCGCTGTGTTAGGTTGGAAATCTGGAGACTCTAAAAATCTTAAGAAAAATTCATAAACAAGCTGGGAGGAAAAGAGAGAGAAACTACAGTGAGTCAAACCACATGGTATTTTATCAAATGGAAATTAAAATCCACCATCAATGGAGTCTTCATTTGATTGCAAGTACCAGATTTAAAAAGCCCTAAATCTACAGGAACCCTCAGTCACAGGGCTTCACTTCAGGCTAGCTGACGACGACGGAAGTGATTGTTATTTCGAGAACCACAGACTGTGCCCTTAGCTGGCCCTGGAAGGAAATTGTTTCTACCGCTGAGGTCGCCGGTGCCACCTGCACAGCTGGGAGATTATCGCACACAGTGGCCACACACGGGGCTGTGACCAGACTCCACACCTGGGACAGAGTCACAGCTAGAGGCAGCTGGGACTGCTGGGCAAGGAGGCAGGTAGGTGCACCGGTCACCTGGAGCCAGATCAGTTCTTGCCTTTTTGCTAATATGGGTGGGGGTGGGGGAGGATGTCACCATCACTGCATGCCTATGGTGATGCCAAACTCCTGTGGGTCAGACATGCTCTGCTACCAAGACATGGAGCAGACTCTTGTTGGGCCCCTCCATCTTGCCCTCTCCCACTCCCAGAGGTGACCCGGCCCCCCTCACCCCCACTGGACTGGCACGCTTGCAGCCTCTGCCTGGGCATCCTACCCAGCAGCCTCCCTTTCTGGTTGGTCGGCACACATTACTGAGAGCTGTACACCTCAGTGTGGAGGCCTGAGAAACCGTTCCCCTCAGGGCGCTGGGCCCAGTCTCACCGTGACCAACAATGGGGCTTTTGTGGAAAGCGTGGACAATTCCACTTCTCGGGACTTTGTGCCAAGTGTCCAAACACACATGCAAACTACCCTGTCACTGCTCTTCACTGGCATTTCCAGGCTGGTAAGGCCTGCAGCTAGAAGACCAGTGGCCCAGGTGACTGGTGGAAGGGTGGCCTGAGGTCCCCGCCCCTCCCCACCCCCCACCCCTCACGCACACTCCTGTCTGTACCTGTAGATGAGGCCAGGCTGCTTCTAGCGTGGGCTCGTCTTCCTCTGGGTCAAACTCTGCTCCCGTGGGATTGGAGGATGGTGGTAACGTTCGAAACATGTTAACTGCGAACTGAAATCCACACATTTTCCTGGTTACAATCAGGACATTTGCCCCGGGCACAGAGAACAGCGCCGGGAGCCTGAGTGGCTCAAATGATCACTGGCATGTACTTATCTGGAGGGGAGGAGAGGGTCCTGAAGGCATTCCTTAACGAAAACCACAGCAGAAAGCATGCCCTTGGCCCAGTTCCCCCCCAACCCCACTCCCCAAGTCCCTGTGCCTGGCCTGGCCAGCTGGCCAGCACCCTTGAGGGGCAGGAAGGTGACGACTGCTGGGGTGGGAAAAGCAGAGGGCCTGCATGCTGGTAAGGCAAGGGCGAGCTTCTGAAGGAGACAAGATGATGGACGGCACACGACAGAGGCTGCGTGGCACTGGGGAGTCTGGGGGGCCAGGAGCTACGCTGTACCATCAGCCACGATGGGGGGCGTGGTCAGGACAGGCATCTGCTGGCCGATGCTGCTGGTGGCTTTCCGGTTGGCCCCACCCGGCTCACGGTGAGCCTGTGCAAATGCCTGGACTACTGAGCTTTGCAAGTGGCTCCCCAGCCCTTCCTTCCAGCTCGGTTCAGAAGGCCCGCCGAGACTTGTTCGGTGTCACAGCCACACACAAGCCCCCACTGACAGACAGGCGGTGGCTAAGCATGACGTGCCTGGGCCAGGAATCAGCCTGGGACCTCCCCTGGAGAAGGCGGTCTGCTACCACTGGGCCCTTAGGTCCTGAGTTTCTAGAGAGAAGGCTGAGAGAAGGCTGCATCCCAGCCGGGGGTGGGGGTGTGTGCGAGCCCACCGCTGGGAGGACAAGGGGATCTCTGGGGAAAAGGTGGCTCTCACCTGACTCCTTTCTCTCTCCAGTCTCTACCTCTCTGCTGCCCAAAACACTTTCCTCACCCCTATAAGAGCCACCCCCAAACCAGGCCCACTGCTTTCCAGTGGACTCCGCCTCGCAGTGACCCTGTAGGACAGGGATGTCAAACTGGCGGCCAGTGGGCCGCATGTGGCCTCCGAGGTAATTTCTTGTGGCCCACGATGCTCTGAAATAAAATGTTATAAGGGAATTGTGTGTACGGTATTGCCTCCATCTCCGCTAAGCGCTATTTTATCCATAACAATGTTTTCTATTTCATTGTATTTCAGAGCATCACGGGCCACAAGAAATTATCTTGAGGGCCCGCATGCGGGCCCGTGGGCCACCAGTTTGACGCCCCTGCCCTCAGACAGTCCTCCAGGGAATCTTCATGGATGCAGCTGGTGGGCTCCAACCGCTGACCTTGCTGTTGGCAGCCTGGCGAGTGCTAACCCTGGGCGGGTTGCCAGCCCATCAGCATGGATGCCTTTTACAACAGACGCTTTCTAATACAATCCAGGGTCCTCAGGGCAGAGGTGCAGTCTGGTGTCGGCCTGATTGACACGAGAAGTGAGCGCTCAAAGGCAGCGAAGCGTGCTCTCACACCTTCGTGATGGAACAAGCAAGCTGCACTGCTCTCCATCCTCCGTCCGCAGCCACGGGGCTCAGAGAGGGGTCCTGTCACACCCCACAGCACGAAGCCAGCATCCCGACGACGTCACACAGCAATTAGAGACACTCTGCCACTGAAACCCCAAAGCCAAACCCACTGACTTAGAAATGGGGTCCTGTCACCCCCACAGCACAGAGCCAACACCCACTCTGTAATGGTAATTAGACACCAGCCCAAGCCCACTGAGTCGAGTGACCCTACCAGGGCAGGGTAGAGCTGCGACCCATGCCCTCCTGGGCAGTCGCTTTCCTGGAAGCAGGTGGCCCATCTTTGTCCTGGGGAGACCAAGGGGTTCTAACCACCCACTTTTTTGGTGAGCAGCCTAATGTCTACCCACTGTGCCACCAGGGCTCCCAGATATTATCTGGGGTGGGGAGGGACACGGGGTGCCCAAGGCGACATGGCCAAGGGGAACAGGGAGACCAAGCTGGGGTGAGTGTGTGGGTAGGAGTAAGTTCGAGTGCCAGACACAGGCTTCTCTCATGCCCCCTCCAGAACCAAGCGCTGCTTTCGAAGAACACCTGCCTTTAATGTGATGGTTAATAACTACGTTTACAGTAAGTTAAATTCTTATTTTGAACAGCTTGTTATTTCAACACGCAAATATATTCTGAAATAACAGCTCAGCGAAGAGAAAACCTGATGTATCTTTGCAGAACACTTCCCAGAGGAAATGCTCATCCCGTAACTGGTTCACAACTAGAAGTCTCCCCGTCTTGCTTCTGATGAGTGTGAGGGTGTGGCAGGTGTGTCGTCATATTTGCACGACTGGAGAATAGATAATATACACGTGGGGCGATCATTTACAATAGCTCTCATTCAATGTAATTTGGTGCGATAACCAGAGAAGAGCGGAGTTTTGGAATTTCTCTTTTAAGTTATTTCCTCTGGGCCAGAGGTCAACTTTACAGATTCTGAAGGGTGTACTGCTCAACATTTAATCCTGACAAGTTCAAATGAACACGAATGAAAATAATTTCACAGCAAATAACCACACAGCCACCACCTAGAGTTTATCATTAACACGTGTATTTGTTTTATGACAAATTCTGATATGTGTGTGTGTGTGTGTGTTGGCAATAAACGATGAGAGCGCTTAGATTCTGCATCCCACAGACAACATGAACTGAGAGGTGAAATTTCAGAGTCAGGGACACACACCTAAGCATCTTCACGTCATCTTGCCTCCACCAACACCCCAGGGGTATAAAGTCACCTGTGGTCTCTGATGAGGGCATTTAAAATAACCGCTGCCAGGTGGCCTGGAGTAAAACGATGAGTGCTGTGTGTCCTATAAATGGTGGGCTGACACTGTGGCTACAACACCGGTCACACATACCTGCGGTTGTGAGGCTGCCTCAGGACCGGAGAGCATCTTTCTCCTGCACTTGGGGCTGCACTTGGGGCTACAACTAGTCGGCACCTAACAACGTCACACTGTAGATGAAGAACTAGTACCTAACAACGTCACACTGTAGATGAAGAACTAG